GCGCCGGAATTGTCCTTTAATTCCACTGCAGCAGTGTGGGAAACTGCAACGTAACAGATGGATTGTATCTGAGTGTGTGTTACACACTTAGTATCAGTCTGTCATATGTGTATATGTGTTAAGCACGCATCATGGTTGTAGTGCTGTTACCCTCTTTGGGGAGAAGAGGCTCTCATTAAGTGGGGATCTGGAGAAGGATTCTGCACACTCTATGGGCATGCTCAGTCTGTAGAAGGTAATGTCAGTATAACTGTTCTGTGAGCCAAATGACCTCTGGGTGACCCTTAGGCATGGACACGACTCCACTGTTCCATCTATCCTTGTCACCTGAAAAAGGAAGTAAATCAAAAACCATTACTTTCGTCTTTTAAGTTATTGTCCTTTTAATGCCATGCCAACAGTTGCACGTGCAGATGCACTGACTGGTAGGTCCTTCGAACTTGCTACATTTTTGTTTTAATCAGTTATATATTTTTTTAGAATTTCCACTCTGAATGATTTTTGATTGTATTCGAGTTTAAAGGGCTAAGCCAAAACTTTTCAAAACAAGGCTAACTCCTTCAAACTTCTCTGTTTTCCACTTTATCGCTGAAACATGGATCACCTATGACAGAAATAGTGTACTGTGATTGGAAAAAGAAGTGTGAGGTTTGGATCAAAGAGCAGCAGATCTTGAGACGATCCACCCAGCTAGATAGGCCAGACCAGCCCACCACAGTGGGTGTTGTCACCCTAGGAGGAGAGGAGGAAAGCCGGAGAAGAGCCACGCTGTCCTAGCTTAGACATAAGGCTGAGTAGTAATAGCCATAGTAGTTGTTACTTTTGCAATTATTACTGCTGTGCATCTTTGTCTCTGTCTTTCTCTTTTTATCCCCTCCCCTCCCCCTCAATGATGCTGGGTGCTGAAACGCAGTGTATAGTGTAAAGTGGATGGATACTTTTTATGTGAAAATGGAACTATATTTGTTACCTGCTGTTTACATTCCCCATGGGTGTATAGGATGTGTATGTACAACGATCAGCCACAACGTATGACCATATGACCGTATGATGGGCACCCATCAGGTCTGTGGCTACGCAGACCCACAAACTGCAATGCACTGTGTTCTGATACCTTGACCGCCACCCATTACCCTGTCCTCACTTCATTGCTTTTCTTTCCTTGGACCACTTTTGATAGGTACTGTCCACTGCAGACTGGGAACACCCCACAAGAGTTGCTCTGAACATCTAGCCATTACAATTTGTCCCTTGTCAAAGTCATTCAAAACCTTACGCTGCCCATTTTTTCTGCTTCTAACACATCAACCTTGAGGACAAAAGTTTCACTTGCTGCCTAATATATCCCACCCACTAACAGGTGCAACGATAAAAAGATAATCAGTGTTCACTTCATAATGTTATGGCTGATCTGTGTATATTTATAACTGTATATATATTATTTTATTAGGGCTCGAGCACTAACCGTGCAAAGGCCCAATAGAAACTGCACGGGTTATTATTATTATTTTACATACCAAATGAATTGCATTTTTGGAGGCTACAACATGCACAAAAATGAAAACATTTGGCGGTAGTGAAAATGTAAGTATTCTATTCGTTATGAGTGTCGCAAAATAGCTTAGCCACGCCCCCCAGAATGAGACCCCTAGACATGTACTACCGACATGTATAAAAATTGGTATGCACGTGTATCATTATCAGACAAGAAAAAAAGCCTCTTGGACCCATACCCTAAACCCAACAGGAAGTCGGCCATTTTGAATTTCGTGGTCATTTATATATTTTAACAAACTCTTCTTTGGTAATTTATTGGATCAACTTCAAATTTGATCAGTGAAAGACCATCACAATTAAAAGTTGTGCTATTTGTGACTGTACATTGAACAGCTTGCACGTGGCGTGGCTTCCAATTTTGACAAAAGGCCATTAAACAGGAAGTTCTCATAACTTTACTGTACTTTGTCCAATCGCAAACGAAACTTCGCGTTTGATCCTTCCTGAACCTACATGCCAATATTCAGATAGTACTACTTCTAGCAGGTTGATCGGATTCAGATCAGATCTGTCCAGAAGACCCTTGAGACATTGATGATGATGCTATGATATGCTATGATTCTTGTGAATGTATTGATCATGAAGATGGTCTTTTTCTGACAATTTGCACATGTTGTATTTTAACAAACTCCTTCTAGGTAATTGTTTGGATCGACTTTAAATTTGGTCAGTGCAATCTAATGACCTTAAAGATTAAAAGTTGCTGTTTGTGTCACTTTAAAACCTTGTGTTGTATAATGATAAATACATCTCCTGTACTGCATGTTACAATAATTAATGTTTTTGGAACAGTCAACAGTTTTGTGGGAAAAAGATATACCATTTAAAGCTCTACCAAAAATCTACAGTAAATGCAGATTCTACCAGGTACTAGCAGCTACTTAGTTGTGAGTGGAAGTATATGTCACTCCCCTTACCTCTATGTGTTGGTGGTTGGTTGGGACAGGTACAAACTGAGGTAGCCTCTTGCTGAGCCACATGGTGACATCCCGGTTCATGTTGACAGCGAATGGTTCGTATCCTTCCTGCAGGCCGCAGATGGTGAAGTACTTTAGAGTGCTAACGTCCTTACCAAAGTTCATCCTCCCCACCTGACACACACCTAGACTGCACACTGGAATAAAACCTGGAGACAGACAGAACAAATCAAAGACTAAGGTGATGCAA